TTCTCAGCAACAAGCTACAAGTCGATTTCACTTGTCTCTTTAACGAGTTTGTAGTTTGGTGCGGAGAATGACAAAACTGACTGATGATGCCGAATACGATGCCGACGAAACGTCCGTGAATGTACCAAGTCCATGGTCCAGCGTTGGGAATTATGATAACTTGGACAAGTTGCGTCCAACTAAGTCCCCCTGACAACACGACCAAGTTATTCTATAAAGTTGCCGTTGTTGCTTTGACGCGTTTTGTCAAGTAGCACGACAGACAAGAGCCCAGCCGATCTTCACAAGCATCAGAGATTGCTGTTTTGACGACGGCATTGCTCTTAAAGTCGCGCTGGCATTAAGTAATCGTCTGTTGGCGAGATGGAGCAGTGCCTCCTTTCAACAGTCGCTTTCACACGAAATGCTAGTCACCACAAACGTTTAGTGGGTGGAAGTGGGAAGATGTCAGGCCAGAGTGAAGGCAACTTTCTTGGCAAGAGTCCTCTGGTGGCGTCTATGCCAAGGCTGCCCTGCCTGTGCTGGTGAAGTCGAGTTGCAGCCCAGCATACTCTCTCTTATACCTCCAGAGACATATTTTGTCATTCCATGTGATAGATCTGAGATAAGTAAGTTGGGCATAAAAATTTATTGCAATGATTCCAAGAAATAGCCGCATTGGAGGTAAAGAGTACAGGAGACTGGGAAAAATGGATGGACGACAGCAGAGCATAGTGCCCGAGGGAGTAATCCCATGAGTACGCTGTGGGGGAAGGGAGGACAAGAGGAGTTGGGCAAATGGGAGTGGGCGAACCGGCCTGCCAGTCGTCGATTCTGGGAGGACTGATCAAAAGGAGAGTTGGCGAGAGGACAGGGGACAAAGGGAGAATGGGGCAAGTGGCCAGAATGAGGCATCGGTGCGGTGGGAAGTATAGGGAGCTGGAGCTGGTCGGTTGGTAGGGCCGAGTTGTGTGAAGGCCTGTAGAAATGAAGTAAGGCCGTGGAGGCCAGCACCAGAGAACGGGAGGAAGGCAAACAAATGGTCAAAGTGACGCACACCGGAACAAAACGGGCGACTCAATTTGTCCTCGAGAGGGTTGGTCAGCGCAAATGTTGCACAAATGCCCTCCCTCTTTCTCCACCTCTTGCCCGACCCCCTCGGCCCAGACTCGTACACATACAGTTACACCTTCTGCCCAGGCCGGCAGAAAAGCAACCTTTGTTGCCGCTTTCACAAAGGCCCCGAAACGAGTGGCTCACCCACTCTGCATGAACTGCGAGAAAAGGGGCTTCTGTCAACCATTTATGCATTGTTGTCACGGCTGCAAGCGGCAGTGTCAGCCCTCCGAACGCCTAAATTCTTGATAAGAAATGTGTGTGGACGAAGTGGAGTATTATGTATAAAATAAGGCTGGGTTTCAAAAAAAGCATTCAACAACTTCATGTTAACAGACTTGACGTTTGGAGGGAAAAGTTGGTAATTCAGCCGCATCAGAAACCGGAGGACTGTTTTGCATTTTTGAATATTGGATTCCTCGAAGAAGTCCATGCTAGAGGAATAGAATAGGAAATTGAATGTGAAATGCTCTTGACTGATATAAGTGCGGTAGTTTACTTTTTCCTCAATCATGTGAGTAAACCTTGTTTTTCCATCAAAGTTCACACAGCCCTTCTTCCCTTCTTCGCCCTAGCGGGACTCTAGCCCAGCTGGTGGTGCTAAAGTGTATAGTTTCAACATCCTACCCATTAAACCACGCTTCTGCGACTCCTCTTTGGCCACATGGAGGATGTGAATTTCGAGGAAGCTTAGGTCTTTCCCATATAACATTTATGTGGTTTGATTGTCGACAAAGCACAGTTCTATTTTCTACAGCAACAGATTAAATTAATTATTTTTCGTTTCATAAATAGGTTTCCGAGACTACTAGTAGATCTGATATAAAGGTTATGT